GTAACCCTGCCCGCCGCCGTCCACTGACTTTCAAGAACATATATCTTCAAAACTACTCAATGCATTTATTGCTTTTTTTTAATTTGACTTATTAATAATGCTTCGTACCAGAATGATATTTTCAAAAATAAAAATGGTTAAACCGCCTTCCTCAAATCATACCCTAATCAAACCCGTCTGGAGGACGGGTAATAGCTAGTATATATATAATACGGATATACGCCCTACATCGCGCCTCTACACACGTTTTGGCGATGACCCCGCTGAAGAATCTGTACTAAAAGTTGCCCGTCTGTGACACGGCCTTTGGCAGGCTTCGTTAACCAGTGGAAATGCTTAGTGGACTCTACTGTTCATCAAGGCGCAGCGGACTGGGAAATAAGGGACAGCTGCGTGAAATAGACTAGTCTTTTCTTTGGATCCGTGCGCTGGCTTTCATTATGGCGAACGGATCCACCATGTTATTTTTTTCCCCTCTGCCGCGCGCACTTCTTTTCTATGCGCGGCCAGTGCTCCATATTTGGCTATCTTCCATATCATTTCAGTTACACTTGCATCACTTCCACTGGTTTCCATGTTGCTCCAATAAAAGGTCGGATATGAGATCTTATTGTGATATAACGTTCGATTGGCTTTCTTCTTCGGCATATAACCTTTACACATCTGACAAACGCTCGTACTCACAGTAAAATCATTATGAAACTACGCCACGCGGAATATTTTTCGTTGTGTCAAGATCAGATATAATAATTTATGCATCGCCTGATCAATCTGTCTATCAGCCAAACGAAGATATCTGACCCCTCATCGAGGGCCTCGGGTAATCAGTAAACAATCATATATCAAATACACCCGTGGACGATGGGATTACCGTATCTTCCCGTCGTCACGATAAGCGACTGGGTCAGGAGTCTATCCTAAGATCCACCGCTTTTAATCGTTTTTTTATCGCAATTATCTGCACAATAATAGCAATACTCGGAGATCGGTAGCTATCACGCATAAGCACGCTTCCTTAGTACAGTAGTATTCTTCGAGTATACTATAGATCCGAGAATTCTTTATTCGGGTTTCTTATGAGCAATATTGTTGCTGCGTGTATGCGCGCACATACGCCGCGCCTGTAGACGGCGCATAGCAGCACTCATGCTAGCATATTATGCACGCTGGCAGATTGCTTCAGTTCTATATAGGCTTAGCTTTACGGTATCAGCCAGTATACACATTATAAATGATTACACTGACTTGAAACCTGTAGAAGAACCCCAGCGCTCAAAGTATTATCGCTCGGTGAATCATCAACGTTGCATATATCCTTCTCAAATCAATATGCTATCACGTAATTTAAAAATTATTATAGATTATTTCAATACAACTATCGTGCGTCTACAGGCGCGGCGTATGTACTAAGGAAGCGTGCTTATCCGTGATAGCTACCGATCTCCGAGTATTGCTATTATTGTGCAGATAATAAGCGGTGGGTCTCAGGATAGACTCCTGACCCAGTCTCCTATCGTGACGACGGGAGGATACGGTAATCCCATCGTCCACGGGTGTAGTTGATATCTGATGCACTCACGCACCTTCATAAGTTCATACGTAGCCACCTATGTATGCACGCACACGCACACGCACACACACACACACACATACACACACA